GTTTTTCTTATTTGGTTGAAATTTTTAATTTTTATCATTTTGAGATTCTTGAATCATTTGTGTTTTTTTTTTTTTTTTGGGTATTTCAATGCAGTAAACTCAAGGTTCTCTTTGGCTTGAGCTCATTGATTCTTTCAATTTATATAATGAAAAAAGTCTAGTGAAATTCGTGGTGCTAGATTATAGCTTGTTTCGTTATGACAAATTATTAGAATTTGTAGTTTTAGAGAAAATGGTGAATGCTTGTAGAAGGAACAAACTGCCCAAGAGGTGTTTGTTAAATTGTCTGTGAGAATTAGTCTCTACCGTCAATTGTCATGGATGTATGTTTCACAGCTGTAGTTGAAAAAAATAAGTTCGCATATAGATATATGTAATTGCGTATGAATTTCAAGTGCAAGAAGCAGTGCCTTACCAGCAAGAAGTTACATAGAATTAACATCATCCCTGTACCATTGCCCTTTTCTTTTGTTCTTTCTAGTGTGGTACTTTAGGAAGTCTCTCGTTTTCTTCAAAATCTAGCTTAATTTCTGTTTCTTTTCTTTTTTTTTTTCTCTATCTTAAGAAACTGCTAGCTTGTTGCTACGTCATGATGTGTGACTCATAATTATTCAATCTCATGGTTGAAGAGGCTTCTGTGTCTTGTGCATTTGGAAGTTCATGTTTGGTTAATTTATTTCTTCTTCGGGTAACACTGATTGTTTATTTTCGTTTTTAGGGTACATTAAGGACTTTCAAGTTTATGATCCACATAGAGTGGGAAGAGTAACAGTTGAACTACAAGGGAGGGTTAATGATTGCAAGGCTCTCACTTACAGGCAAGACATCAAAGCAAAGGATATTGAAGCTTACAGATTACGCACACTTCCAACACGGCAGGTCCATTAAAAGTCCTCTTTTCATCTCTGTCATCTTCTTTTTCCAATTTAAATATATAAATGGCAAATCAGAAGTTTGGAACTTCGAAGGGATGACAGTTGCGTTACCAGGCACAGTTGCAGGATATTACATTTAGTGAGATCATGACACTTTTCACTAAAAAGAAGAGATGAGTACTTCTGGTATACTTACCGTATTTTGTATATAATTTCTTTTCATGCAGTGGGGTTACGTTGTGATTACAACTCCAGATGGCATTTTGGATCATGAAGAGGCCATCAGACGAAATGCGGGAGGACAAGTGCTTGGTTACTTCCATTAGATCCCTGGTCTCTACGCGCAAATTTGCATGGGATTCAGGAAAACGACGAGTTGTTTATGCATTGCTTTGGCCTCCTAGATTGTGTTATTTGTAAACTTTGAGTCAAGATCTTTCTGAATGTTTTGACTATTTGGTGAACTTGAATTCTGAATCTCTGATATATAACATTTCCCTTTTTTTTTCTTATCTTTTGGTTATGTCCGGGAATGAGATCATCATGAATCGAACTTCTAAGTAGATTTACATCAACTTTCTTTTTCTTGTTCCAAAAGCATTCTTCCACATTGATGCAGGTAAGGACACATTTCACAATGGGTATATTAAATTTGATTTTCATAGTTCTGGGCTTGATTTTTGTTATCTGTTATCTGTAAAAGAACAAAAAGGAAAAGAAAAAGCTTCTAGCGCGTGTTTGGTTAGCACTTTCAATCTCCAAAAAAAAAAAAATTGACGAGACAACTGCTCTTCATAACTTGCACTTATAATCCAAGGGTGGATGTTATAGAAATTTTAATTTTTTTTATAAAAAAAATTGTCACTTTAAAATTCATATTAAAATTTTTTTTCTAACAAATTTGAAAAGTTGAGAGATAGCGAATGAGTTATAAATAAATTCACTTGTAAGCTCAGTAAAACAAGCTTTGAATCAAAACACTAAAAGGGACTTGTGATGATGAAATGAGTATACTAATTCAGTCGTATAACAAGTTTATTATAATTCGACACATAATTATAATTTGATGGTTTTTGACACTTTCTTTTTTACGTTTGATGGTTCATGATGTTGTATGCAGAGAGTTGTAGATGCAATTGTTGTAGGCAATGCAGTTCCAAGAACCTTTCTTAATGATAATTGTTTCCACCTTTCTATAAGAAAAATGTTATCCCCAGAATACAATGCCTACTAAAATGAACTTTAATCACCCAATCACTATACTAAAAATTTAAAGCAAAGTGAAAAAATTCAAGGAAGGAGATGAAGAAAACTCAAAGTTTTTCTAGAATTATTTTGATTTTTTTTTTTTTTGAGATTGTGTTATTTATCTATAATTCCCAACCAATGTCTTTTACACCGGTATAAAATAGATACACCCTTCAAGAATCATAACTCTTCGATATCTGATATATTTATATCAGATAATATTTCAAACCTTTTGCCCATTAGAGATGGTTTTCTCCAACGTAAATTCAACTTTCAACATGCAGACAAAGCAGTTACCAAACATGTTTCAACCATTCCTTATCTTTATCTTTATCTTTTTCTTCCTTGTCTAACACTGCCTCATGTTTCAAGCCTTTAAACCGTACCCACATCACATGCATCCCTTAAAGTTAAAGTGAAGTGTGTATAGATATATATATAATAATAACAATATATTATAAAATATTATATAATGTAAATAATAAATATATTATTAGAAAATACCTAATTATATATGTAACAATCCTCCACTTATTTTTTAATAATATTATTAAGTATACTGGTATTGTATAATGTATATCCAAAAGTGGCAAAGGCTTGAATCTTTGTATTGAATATGAATTACTAGGAAACATATTCACATTATACATTGGCTCAAAGTTCCACCATGGCAAGCGTGTTTCTATAACAAAAGGCCTTGTGCTAATCATGTTCTAGCAAGTACTCTAAGATTAACTCGTGCACTGTATAGAAGGTGGTCTTTGACCTTCTGACTTGCATAGGTAGACTCATAAAAAATGTTCACAATTTCCATTCCACTATAGTTAGTTATGAGTCTATTAAGAACTTTAACGTTCAACCTTCTTTGTTGTGAATAACAGTGTACTTGTCTAGGTAGAGGACTTTAAAATAATAGTTTTATTTATTTTATTACCCCCACTATTCTTTAAATAATAAAGTACATTGGAAATGTGACACCTTGTGCTTACATTTCTTGAGTAATTCATGAGTGAATTGCCATTGAACTTTTATGCACTTGATTTTTGATAAAAGACATGTCTTCATATCAACATCAAAGTGATGAAGTTGGTTTTAAACATGATTACTACACCATTACTAGTAAGAGTCCCATACCTCTCTAAATTTTACTTAGCCTTTCTCCATTTAAAGGTTTTGTTAAGGGGTTAGCTAACATTTGTTTGGTAGGTAGATATTTTACCTCTACCCTCCCTTTTTTTACTACACTTCTTACATAATTATATCTCATAGCAATGTGTCTTCTATTATTAGATAACCTTTCATTTTTAACATTGTGAATTGTAGCTTGATTATCACAAAATAATGTGATGGTTCCCCTTGGTATTTCCACAAAAGAAATACCTTTTAGGAATCTCCTTAACCATAAAATTCACCTCCACAAAATGGAGTTGTTGAAAGGAAGAATAGAACTTTGATGGAGATGGTTAGTGCCATGTTAATTCACTCTAATTTGCCATTTAGTTTTTGGGGTGAGGCATTGTTTACTACATGTTATATTTCCAATAGAATTTTGCATAAAGGTAAGGATATGATAGCATATGAATTATTAAATGTTAGGAAACCAAATATTGATTATTTTAAAATTTGGGGTTGCATTGCATATGTTTTAGATTCAACCATGAAGAGGCCTAAAATTGGTAATAAGGCTATAAAATCAATTTTTATTGGTTATTCATTACATAGTAAAGCATATAGATTTCTTAATTTGAAGATTAATAGTGCTTTTAAGGCTATTCATGCAATTTATTTTGAGCATTTAACTATTAAAGATGTTGATAGTTTAGAATTAGAAAATGATTTATTAAATGAATTGGAATTTAATTCTTTTGGGTGCAACAAGCATGTGGAAGATGTTGGTACAATTATTTTGTCTTGTTCTAATTGTTTGAATGCTCAAAAGCTTGATAATAGTCACATGCGTGATAACTTGCGTGAAAGTGCTTCCAACCAAAATGGTGAAAACAATGCTAGTCACATGGGTCATTTGCATGAAAGTGTACCCAACCGAGAATCTGAGAACAAAAAGGAGGAAGAACCGGAATTGAAAAGAAGTAAAAGAAGATGGAAAGAAAAGGATCTTGGTCCCAATATGTTTACATATTTTTTGGAAGAAGACCCAAAAACTTTTAGTGAAGTCATGGCCTTACCAGATGCTTCTTTATGGAAAAAAGCCATGGATGATGAGATAAAATCTATTCATGATAATAATACATGAATTTTGGTTGATCTTCCTCCTAATACTAAACTTATTGGTTGCAAGTGGGTCTTGAGAAAGAAATTAAAGACAGATGGAAGCATTGATAAATATAAAGCAAGACTAGTAGCCAAAGGTTTTGGTCAAAAAGAAGGATTGGATTGTTTTGAGACATTTTCACTGGTGACTAAATTTACTTCTATTAGAAGTATGTTTGCCATTGCATTCATATATAATCTTGAGGTACATCAAATGGACGTGAAGACAACATTTTTGAATGGAGAACTTGATGAGGAAATCTACATTCATCAACTTGAGGGATACATAGTGCAAGGTCAAGAGGATAAAGTATGCAAACTTAACAAGTCTCTTTATGGACTTAAGCAAGCACCTAGGCAATGGTATAAGAAATTCAAGGAAAGGGATGAAGAAAAAGGCTTGCCGGCCTAGTGACCCAACAGTTTAATATAAGTCTTTTTCACCATGGCAAGGGTTCGATCCCCCTTCTCACCTCCCTCCCCCCGAACTACTTGCCCTAATAAAAAAAAAAAAAAAGGAAGAAGGAGACGAAGAAAACTCAAAGTTTTTCTAGAATTACTTTGATCTTTTTTTTTTGGGGACTATGTTATTTATCTACAATTCTCAACCGATGTCTTTTACACTAGTATAAAACAGATACACCCTTCAAGAATCATAATTCTTTAGTATTTGATATATTTATATCAGATAATATTTCAAACATTTTGCCCGTTGGAGATAGTTTTCTCTAACTTAAATTCAACTTTCAACCTGCAGATAAAACAGTTACCAAACAGGTTTCAACCACTCCGTATCTTTTTCTTTTTCTTCCTTATCTGACATTGCCCCATGCTTCAAGCCTTTAAACCGTACCCACATCACATGCATCCCTTAAGGTTAAAGTGAAGTATATATATATATATAATAATAATATATTATAAAATATTATATAATGTAAATAGTAAATATATTATTAGAAAATACTTAATTATATATCTAACACATGATACTTAATCATACAATACTTTGTCAATGACATCTTTGACTCGTTGACAAAAATCAAGGCCCAAAACCTTAGAATTATGGGTCTAACTTCCATATATAATGAGTTTTTTTCCAGTTTTACCTGATTTTTTTTTTTTGGTTCCCCATCCGGTATCCGAGGCTTCGTCCCGACTACTCCGGACTCGACCAGCTGTGGCGCACCAGAATGGTGGGTGGGTCTCCCAACGAAGACTGCTGCGTACACAAGGTCTCGAACTCGAGATTTTGCTTAAGCTGGAACAAGCCGCTTGCCACTTGATCCAACCCCTCGTTGGTACCTGATTTTTGTATTATATTTAAGTCTTATATATGCGTTGTATACAATTTGTATAATATACTTGTACTCTACTGCCTATTAAAAAAAAAAACTGTACAACACTTTATTTGCTGAAAAAGCCGGTTAAAATTATTGAAAAAAAAAAAAGCATCCCTAAAATGTTGCTGATGCTAAAAACATTCCAAATATATTCATCCCAAGATGAAGATAACAGACGTTTATAAAAGGAATAAGGGAAAGAAGTTGCAGTGCGCCTAAACCTTCAGCTTCTTCGGTTGGAGTCCGTGTCGCTGCCGCATCCTTGATTTTCAGGTTACCCCTTCTCTTCCCCTTTTACTTAAGTCATTTTATTTCAGACCACTATTATTTATATATTTATTAATTTTTGTATTTACCACCTGCCAGCTTTGTCGCACTTAGGGAGGCGATCTAAGTGGCATCGTCACACTAACTTTGTTTTGCAAGACGCTAAATTAATTATTTATAGTGAATTCTACCAGGGTTTCAAACCACTAATTCTTCTTTATAACAATTGTAGTGAGGTGGAAAGGAACCATCGATCCTCTTCCGGCATAGGGACCAACGGTCCCTATGACAGGACCCTTTCGTATTTCAAAAGACCTGACCCATTGGATGGGTCGTCATAATACAGCACTTTGTTTTTTTTTTAATCAACTTTGCAAGTATCAGATTCCAACTATTATCAACGTGACCTGATGTTATTAGGTTTAAAGGCACAAGTACTAATACAGTACTTTTTCTACTAAAAGAAAGAAAAGTTAAAATTATTAAAAAATAAAGAGCATCGCATACCCTAAACTAAAAACTGTACAATTAAACCCCTAAACCCCTTGAAAGATGTAAATTTGTCCTCAAATCTCTTGAAATATGCAAATTAGCCCTTATCAAGCATGGAGTATTGAACAATCAATTAATCCCTACTCCTTTTTTCTTTTCAATTTTTTTCCCTATGATTTTATGCAACATTAATAAGTCTATTTTCATTTTCTATAAGGTCACCAATCTATCGCTCTTAGTAGCTAAAGATAAAATTATTCATTTAGGCCATCAGTACATATTCAAACAAATTGACCTCATATTCTTCCAAAAGAGAAAAAGACACTTAAATACATCAATAATCCACCAACCTTCCCTAAAAGTTGACCCACTAATGAAACAAAGAGGTATCCACATACCCTAGTCTAAACAAAGACCAAACCGGATATTTTTTGAAGAAAGTGTGTGAGACTTGATATGGAAAGAAGGAATGTGAGTAAGGGACAGAGAGGACGCAAGTTGCACAAGTTGTGTGGCATTGGGTGGTGGAAGAAAAAATGTGGGACAAGAAAAGTAGACCGCTCTTGTCCCATGGCAAGAAAAGTAACCTGAAAAATGTGGGACAATAAATTTGTCCTCAAATCTCTTGAAATATGCAAAGTAGCTCTTATCATTAATGACCTAACACCTGTGACTTCATGTTGTTTGTTCTTTTGCTTCACTTAGTTTTATTTTTTCATATGAATACTAATATAGATAAAAAAAACCTTTTAGGCAATAAAAACCTCATTAAAATGATTCACATAACCTTTTTTTTTTTATTTAGTATTCTTAGAACATATGAACCATTCTAACAAATTTTTACCACCTAAGAGGTTATTTCATTCACATCAACATTTAGGTGAAAAAGTAAGACTATATGAGATTATATGTGTTGAGCCATTAATGATGATAATTATAAGAGTTGATTTGTATTATTTTTTTACGAGATTTGAAAGCAACCAACTAATTCAAATGTTTTAAAACATGTGAGCGAACCATTTGGGCCCCTCGCATCATTTTGATAGTTGCCTTAAAGCCGGGGGCTTGAGAAGCCAGAAGAAGAAAGAGGGAAAGAAATTGCGGTCCGCGGAAACCCTAAGCTTTCTTCGGTTGGAGTCCCTGTCGCCACTGCATCCTTGATTTTCAGGTTACCCCTTCTCCTTCTCACTTTACTTCATCATATTCTTTCAGACCACCATTCAATTGACCATCCTTGCATTTTACTTCAGTCAACTCCTCTGCTTTAGAACCCCATACGGCCCAGGAGGCTTAATCTGCAAAAGGAAGAAACATGGGGATTGAGGAGGATAAACTCCCTAGTTCTGTTCATGCCATTGTTTTCAAAGACTCAGATTCTCTTGAAGGGAAGAGTATTAAGATTGAGGGGTATGATTTTAATGAAGGTGTTAATTATTCCAAGCTGCTCAAGTCCTTTGTCTCCACTGGGTTTCAGGCCTCTAACCTAGGAGACGCCATTGGAGTTGTCAATCAGATGGTTGGTTTCAGTTCTTGAGATGTCCTTCTAAAATTTAATGCAGTGGATGTTATTATGCTTGAATTTTTTTCTTTTCTTTTCTTTCTCAGTTTGGTTTTGAAGCTGTTTTATTAATGATTTGAAGCTAGATTGGAGGCTTGTTGATGAGAACATTACCGAGGATTGTAGCGAGGAGGAGAGAGATCCTACATTTAGGGAGTCTGTGAGATGCAAAGTCTTTTTGGGTTTTACGTCAAATCTTATTTCATCTGGTTTACGGGACATTATTCGCTATCTGACTGAGCATCACATGGTGCGTTGATGAGCGTTTGGTGGAAGGCATTTGCTTTGAGTACTGCATTCTAATGAAGCTGTATGTTGCAGGTTGATGTAGTAGTTACTACAGCTGGTGGTATAGAAGAGGATCTGATAAAATGCCTTGCTCATACATATAAAGGTGATTTTTCACTACCTGGAGCTTATTTGCGTGCAAAAGGGTTGAACCGCATTGGTAACTTGTTGGTTCCTAATGAAAACTACTGCAAATTTGAGGAATGGATCATTCCAATTTTTGATAAGATGTTGAAAGAACAGCGCGAAGAGGTATTCCTTTTTCTTCTTTTTCCTTTTCTGTAACTTTCATCTAGAGTCATAAAGTCTGACCTTGGTTTTGTAACTTGTTGAATTTGTATTGTTTATGCTCTTAGTTGTTTAGATTAATTCATAAACTTGTCCATTCACCTGTGTGGTTTTTGCTGCACTCTTCCTTTGGAAGCCTGATTCATGTCCATATGCCATTTTGTTGTTCATGCCAATCATGATCTTCTCAGTGAGAACATGACTGAAGCATCTTCTTGCTTTATGCTTTTGATTTGACAGAATATTTTGTGGACTCCATCAAAAGTCATTGCTCGCTTGGGAAAAGAAATAAATAATGAGAGGTCATATCTATACTGGGCATACAAGGCAAGTGTTCAAAAAAACCTTTGCCTTCCCCTTTCCTTTCTTTCTCTCATGATCTCTCATCAGAGTATGTTGATGATATTTTGCATTGTTATCATAAGTGAATGGTACTCATTCAAGTATGCTTGGTTAATGCCATCTGTCTCAGTTATTTATTTGATAGTTTATGTTATATGGCATTCCTAATCTTCCATCATTTCTACCATAATGGCATAATGCTGTAAGACATGCTAAACTTCCCTTAGTATTATATTGTCTTATTTATATCATGTGATAACCTCAAACCTGATTTTTGAGTTCTTGGTTTGCTCTAAATATCCATGAGTTCTCAGGCAATTTGAACTTTTCTATTTAGTACTTGTTCTAATTCAAAAAGGCGTAACATGATATTATTGGGGCAGAATTACTGCCTCTTGGATTCAATCCTTTTGCCTATGCTCTAGTACACCACCCCCCCCCCCCCCCCTTTTTCTGTATCAGTTCAGAATGTTATTACCATTGTGATTGTAAGTCAAGATGATACACCTGCATGCAAGCCTGCTTAAAGTATTTTAACCATTTTTAGAACTGTAGAAAAAAACAGAACAAGCTTATGTTCATCTATGCAACATTTTGTTGCACCAAATTTCTGATTCTTGCAAGTTATGTGGCATGGTTACAAAGTTTTGTCATCTTTGCTACCTAAGATTTGCTATTACATGATCTGTAAGGGGTTGTTAGAATGATACCAAGAAGTTTCAAACACTGATGATGTTTGCAAGATACATTTATTTATTTATTCTTTTCTTTCTCTCTTGTTTTTTATTCTAGAGAATAGAGATCATTTGATTTTATTTATAAATATTTTACAGAATAATATTCCTGTCTTCTGCCCTGGCATAACGGATGGCTCATTAGGGGATATGCTGTATTTTCATTCATATCACAACCCGGGTCTGATAATAGATGTAGTGCAAGGTTGGTGCTCTCTGTTTCAGCATTATTGCATGCAAATGTTTAGTAGGCTTAGATATAAAACTAGAACTAGAGCTGGCTAACCGTTTGAATAGATATCAGGGCCATAAATAGTGAAGCTGTCCACGCAAGTCCTAGGAAAACAGGAGTAATAATTCTAGGAGGTGGCCTGCCAAAGCATCATATTTGCAATGCCAATATGATGCGGAATGGTGCAGATTATGCAGTGTACATCAACACTGCCCAGGAGTTTGATGGGAGTGATTCTGGAGCTCATCCTGATGAGGCTGTGTCATGGGGGAAAATACGAGGTTCTGCTAAAACTGTTAAGGTACGCCTATCTCCATCCCTTTGCTTTTATGCTTTGGTTCATTGTCTTTCTGCTTCTGTTTTCAGAAATCATTTAATTTGACCTTCAGTGCCCCTAGGGGACATCCTAGTGTTTAAGAGCCTGAGACTTAACGTTCGAGGTCTTAAATTCAAATCTAAAAATAGGTGGGGAGGGGTTTGAGAAGGAGAGGACTATCCCCTATTGTTTAGTTCATTATCCAACATCCCAAAAAAAATTTTTATTCCACCTTCAATTCAAACTTTGTGCTGATTAATGGTTCAACCTAATACAACTTTCCTAGTGCCACATATTCTTATAGAATAGTGCTGCCTCTTATTATTGTTTGCTTGTTTTTTTACCTTCTAATATATCAACTGATTCCTTTGCCCTCTTGATGGATTTCAATTAGGTACACTGCGATGCAACGATTGCTTTCCCTCTGCTTGTTGCCGAAACATTTGCGTCAAGGAGGGAGGCATTCGAGAAGGCTAATTCTTAGTTAATACAATATTCGGAAAACCGCAAATACTTTCAATTCTATGTTGTTACTCATTTATGCTGATCAAACTATTACCGTACTAAATTGTTTAGCAACTATTGGCAAAGGTTGTGGCCACACTTAGAAGTGTGAAGGCCAGACAACTTTCTGTATGTTATCTTTTAAAATGTTGATTTAGTTTTAATTGCTCTTATAAACGAGTAATAACTGTAATTATTAAGTAATAAATAGTAAAATAAAAAATATTAATATTTATCACTTAATAAATTAAAATAAATTATAAATAATATTTTTAAATATCATAATTAATTATTTATAAAAAAAAATTAAAATATTTGTGTGGTTTTAATACCTTTTAATATGGCATTAATCGTGCCCGCAACTGCTAGCTACAACAACAAATATAGGTTTCAACTAGAAGAAAAGTTTTTCCATAATATATTTACCCAAAGAAAAACAAAAGTCCGAGTCTGATATGGCACAGGAATGCAAATGAAAATAGTTTTTGAGCTTCAACACAAACGCCTACAGATTGTGATCCCATCACCCAATGCTGCATGCGAAATTTGGACACGAGGATCTGCTGCAAGCAATTTGTTAAGATCCAGTATTCTTCGTCTGTTCTCTCTCCATGACTCAGGAGTGCTCTCTTCAGGCATGGCAACACTCCCTTTCGACAGGGTGTTGTCATAAACGACAATGCCACCAACCTTCACTAGTTTCATTAACCTCTCATGGTAGTTCCAGTAATTAATCTTATCGGCATCAACATAAGCAAAGTCGAAGTTGCTTTCGTTACCCAGCTACGTACGACATATCCACCCAGAAGAAAGAAAACGTCAGACAATGAAATGCAGTTTCTCTAAGGTTTTTTCTCTATGGACAAAAATGGGTTACTTCTTACATCTTCTAGCAGCCGATCAAGAACTGGTAGAGCCTCAGACTGTATGAAGTCAATTTTGTGTTCAACACCAGCTTTTTTAATAATAGGCAATCCTATTTCATATGTCTCCCGATTCAAATCTATAGCTACAATCTGTAGTAATGTCCATAGAAAATTTAAAACATAAAATGATCCTAGTTTTGTTAGGTAGAGTGGTAGGTAGCATACCTTTCCATCTTCTGGAATGGTAAGAGCAGTGAGGAGAAGAGAGTAACCTGTGAAGACTCCAATCTCAATTGTTCTTTTGGCATTAACTAGGTTCAAGAGCAAGGCCATTAACTGACCTGCATCAGGAGCAGTAGCCCATCTAGCCCTACAAATAATGAATCTTAAACACAAGTCGATATAAACAGATTCTAGATAGTTCCACATAATATTCAATTTATATTAGAGTATGACATGGTATATGCTGTTAGCTAGCTATTATTTACATATTTTTTTTTTTTGATGAATCAAAATAATTTATTAGCTATTATTTACATATTAATCTATTAGCTTAAAAGATTTTAGAATACGATGAGTTGGTCTGCCTTTTTCATTATTTTGACATTGTTTAGTGAAACCTTAATGACTTTGGTTATGTGGTTCACCAAGTGACAGCTCCTAACAGTAGTGGAAGTTTGACTGTTTGAGACTTGCGCATTGCAAGTTATGAGGTTCAAACCTTAAGATGGATGTACATTACCTTGGATGCCTAGCAGTGACATCTCTAAGCTCTTTCAAAGGCTCGGGTTCGCGGGGATACACACTTGTCTCCAGTATATACTGCATAGATCAATAAGACATCAAAAGCTAGGAAAGTCCTTTAACAGTTGTATATCAGGAACTTGAAGTCAAATCCTACATTCAGAAGGGACGGAAGGGTAAAGTGAAGGGAAATAGTTACTCCCAATTGTGTAATCTATATATCAACACAAAGATATTGAGAAAACAACAATAGAAAATAGGATCGTACTTGATACAGTTCTTCACTCTGTAGCAACCCCTTGGAAATACCTGGTACATTTTTCTTTTCACCATCCATTTCTCTCAAACTGCCTTCTACAAAAATTTAATGAGTAATTTCACACAAATTAAGCAATTCTACAAAGCAAATAAAAAGATAAATTCAATATTTCTTGCACTGAGCCGCAGAACTTCATTTACAAAGTTGAAAAAAAGGAAATCCAAAAAATTTTGACATTTTTGAAAATGGAAAGCTGTTATTACAAATCAAATTATGCAAATTCTACAATAAGAAATTCTGGAGGGAGGACAAGAGAAGAGAAATCCCATGATGAAGTTTTGCTGGTGTCAATTCTCATCCACAATACTAAACAATATTGAAAGATAGAAACATAAAGTTTTCCTGGTCGTTGTGAAATGGGAAATATTAGTTGGTTCCAACTAATTTCAGAACTTTTTTTTTATCAGCAACTAATTTTAAAACCTTAATCTCAAGTCAAACATCTGCAATAGCAAAGCATACTCATTGCGTTTTTTCTCACTAAAAAGGGGGGGAGTTTTTTGCTACTGTTCATTAGCATTAAGTCAAAACAAGCGCAGATGATAGGACCCAAATTGGCAAATTAAATTAATCAAATATCAGGGGAAAGCGTAGTTCTTGGAACATAGAAGTTATTCATATGTCAAAATATGCCCAATTTAACCGAGAGAAGAAAGGAGAATTAGATCAAAAAGGAGGAATTAAGAGGAAAGAAGGAAATAAAAACCCATGCATCAAAATGATAGATTGTGAAGATAAACGGGTTAATTTTGAGTCAGTTCTGAAAATTTTATTATACAAAATGGATTGATCAATGCAATAGCACAAGAGAAAAAGTAGGGGTTTCAGAAATAGTACCTGAGCTAAAGAGGTGGGATGGGAGTTCCTGAAATCAAGATTTGGGCGTTCCAGAAAATGTTGGATTTTTGTCTCCTAAAAATGACAGAAACCCTTCTTAAACCCCTAATCTTACCTTAAAATAGAATTTAAACCTCTAAACTAAAAATAAAGCAAATAAACTCTAACTCCGTTAACAATACAACTAAGCTCTTCTCATTTATAGGCATTTATATTTTTAAGGTAATATTAAATATGAAATACCATTTAATTTTTTTGTGAGAAAGGTTTATTTGCATCATTAGTGGAGTTGAAGGGTATATTTAATTTGCTTTTAGTTTAGGGGCTTAAATATTATTTTGGGATAAGTTTAGGGCTTGTGAAGGGTTTTTACCCTTAAAAATTTGAGGTGGGCCTAGAGCAAAATAATTTAGAGGAAAATTTTTTATATAATTTTTATTTA